GAACCGGCTAGTCGCGGGCTGGACCCATTGACGCGGCCGCGATTCTGGAGTATAACTAGCCGTTGCAGCTGCGGTCACTCAAAGCTAGTAGTTTAGTGACAAATAGCACCTATTCGTTCCGATACTTTAGATCATAAGAAAAACTACAAAAGAAACAGGCTGTAAAGCCATTAATTACACATGCAGCATAGTAAATAGAGTGGTTACACACGAACGCGCGTTTGCATTGCTACACTTGCGATCTATAGGCGATTGCATCTATGCAAACGCGCGACTGCATCGATACAAACGCGCGATTGCACCGATGCAGTCGTGCATTTACATCGCTGCTTAAAATCGCGCGCGTGTGTAAAGGTTAGACGATTAACGACTGACCCGCTACAGCAACGTGGTAACCGGTCCTGTAATTAAATCCGATTAAGACATGAAATGAGTCACCCGCTGTGTGCACCAGAGAACAACTTATGTTAAGTTGCTCATCAAGTGTCAAGCGATTAAATCATTTATATCTTGAACAATTTGCGTGTCACATCTTGCGGATGTTTGTTTTTCCATACATATCACTTGTAATTCTAGGATATGAAATCTGGTTTTTTGTTCTTTGCACATATGCGCCGATCGTAAGAGCGATGCTACACGACGTGTTGCGTCGGGGCGTTGAGACGCTGCGTTGTACTACATAATCATAAATTAGAATTACAAGCCACATGGTGCGAACGCGTGGGCTCGGCCTCGTCTTCTCCGCGCCGTCGCATTGCCCGTGTGGCATCGCTCTACAGTCGTCAGCGCAGGTATCTGATGTACGACACCACCAGGCACACGACCTTGTTCGTCCCGTTACAGTGTCATAAAAAATACCTGAAACAAACTATATATAAATATGAAATGTTATGATTCTCCTATTTAAGATTAAAAAATATTATTAATTTAGTTCGTAGATTCTTTAAGCTTCTCCGAAAAGTTACCATTGTGCAGATGTGGCCTTTTACATCGGTGCGAATCGTTGCTTGTATCTCCTGTATTTACTCAAAAAGACAATGTCAAGTATGGAGCTTAATAAAGTTAAATTATAAAGAATACTTTATTCTCATTTATTTGCATACCATAACATAATAAGTGGTGAGAATGCCGATCGAGCGTCTTTCGACCTTCATGAAAGAAGAGGTTTGACCGAAGGGTGTCATATATCGGCAGTTACCTGACACCAGATTGCGCCACACGTCGACAAGTGCAATTCGTATAGATTAGTTAGTAATGGTATTATATTGTATGTATGTTATTCCTTAAGGTATATATCGACCCCTCCTACGTCAAGTATCGTATGTCGAAATTGCCAAGTTTACAGGGGAGCGTTTTAAAGTTCTGAATTCACAGAAAGAGCGATCATCTAATAGATCATCTAACCGATATCTAGGATTTAATAATACTCTATATGAGTAGTAATAATTTGCCGAATATCACTGAGAAAAAAAGGCACGTGTTATACCCATTTCAGTCAATTCAATACTTTAAAACGCGCACCTGTAAACTTGGCAATTTCGACATACGATACTTTACGTAGGAGGGGTCAATATTATATGAGAGTTTTATTGTATTATTATGTATGTTAGTCTGTAAGGTATGTATTTATGGGTCTTTGTGACCTGAATACAAATTAAAAAAATGTACATTAAATTATGGACCCTAAATAGGGCACAGCAAATAGTAGAAGAGAGGATTAGTCGTAATACTTTTTCTATTGTAACTAAAACTAAATTTAAACAAATATGTTTACAACTAGTTAACAAAACCCAGGTACCAAGAATTTCATCTTCTAAGAAATCTTTTACATTATAATAGCTTTTATTTATTAGTAATTACTTAAAGTTTAAGAAAAAAGATTTGTTGTTTGGCTTATTTTTTAAACTCTCCGGAAGTTTGTTATATATTTTTATTGACATGGTGTATGGACTAGAGAAATGCATTTAATCTAGATTATGGTATTACCAATCTGTTTCTATTTCGAAGTGCATATTTAGTTGGGATGTCGTGATATAGTTCTTGATGGTTTTGCACAAATTTACAATTTTCTAGTATATTGATACAAGAGAGAGTCAGGATTTTATGCTTGATAAAATAGGGTTTATGACTGTCTGTTTGGGCTATATTTGTGAGAATTTTTAATTGATTTCTTTTGTATTTTATTTCTTTTGTATTTTATTCGCATCATACATCACTTAATTTGGTCGAGGATTACTTATTTCACAATAATTGTTTCAGACAGATGTCGAACGCAGAACAAAAGTACAGTGAATATTCGATTATACATAGTTTATAAACACTCGTAGCCATCTGGTTTTATGTAGATTCGCGTTATATAAAGTCAGATGACTAATTTCGTTTGTAACGTATTAGTTGTATGTACGATATTAAATACATTTTCACCTCACTAGCTCGGAAAGGCTTCCTTTCTCGGTTTCGCCACACTAGCGTTTAAAAGGTTTTTGAAATTCGAACTTGGCGATGGACTGTAGTGCACCTAACTTTATCTTTCGGTGAAAAAAAAACAATGACATGTTCAACTACGCGATGTATCGTAAATTATTTATGTAATATAAATCTGTTGATAATAATAATAATAATAATAATAAATGTTTATTTCAGTAATACAATTAACTTTACATTAACAGTGGATGGTACCTCCTATTAAGCTTATCAAGCCTGTGTCAGAAGGCACCGCTCTTCCATAGCTATAAATGCATATTTAACATTTTTAACTTATAATTAATGTAGTGTTTAATTTTTACATTTCCAAACATCGACAAAAACAAAACAAAAAATGTTTTTTTTAACAATTTTCAATTTTCTTAACTTCTAATTTTAATTTAATTATTGATCTTCTTCTTTTAAATGTTATGGCCCCATCGAAATAATCAATGATTTTGCCAATGTCAAGTAAAAATAACTATGTACGGTAGTTTAGTATTATTATAAAAATTATACAAAAAAAAAAATGGCGATTTCGCCAATGTCCTGTGAGAATTTTTCATATTTATTGTTGACATTAAATTGACAACGATGTCAATAACTAATTTTGTTTATTAAATTATTTTTGGTTATAATTCAACTGTTTTTCTTTCATCTATGTGAAAAGTTGTTTTGCTCGGCAGCAAAGTTGTTTTGCATGTTGTGCCTTAAAACCATTGCTACGTTGTGCCTTGAAACCCACTCGCTTCCCTCGTGGTTTAATCTTAGGGTCGTATTTCAAAACTCGACTCAATGCTCAAGTCAGGACTGGAAATAGGACCCTAAAGGACTTTAGTGATTTCTAGTGCTTTAAATCATACTCAAGTAATGACTTGAGCATTGAGTAGAGTTCTAGAATACAACCCTTATAGTCCTTCGCGTGCTCAGGTTCCAATACAAACACTCGCGTCAAACAACTTTGCAGCCTTGCATAACAAATGACCATTACCGTACGTATGTGTCTAATTTCGTCCACATACTTAATATTAGACGAATTCTAAAATCATCTTTAGTTATTCACGCAAGCCTATAGTAGGTAGTTGTAATTAAACGCACCGTTTAAGGTAGGTACATTCGTTCACATTGTAATCTTCTGGGAAGCAAATGCATTGTTTTCCGCCATTTATTTTGTAATGCAAATGTAGTAGGCGTCCGGTTTAGGTGATGAAATTGAAATTGCTATAAAATTACAATAATTTATATCTTTAAACAGTGTTTTATAAGACAATGGGAGGTAAATAAAACTATTTTTATATGTGCTTAATATTCTGTATTTTAGACTTTTTTGTTTACCGATGCGTACTTCAAATTTGTGACATTTTCAATGAATGGTTATTCTCGGACTAGCTAATTTCCGTGGCAACTTTTATTATTTAAGTATTCCATTTTTTTATTGTGCAATGTTATTTATTATTCGAGTGTTCCATCGTGGAATATTATATATAATAATTACATGACAATACACTTGAATATTTATATAACAAAAATTGTCACGGAAATTTGGGTAGTGAACAGTCCGAAAATGACCGTGCACTGTCTATTACGATTGTCATAAGTCTGCCTTGCGTACAATATTAACAGTTAAATATGTTTGTAATACCAATTAAGTCGCAAGCTTCATACTTGACATTGTCTTTTTAACCGACATCAAACAAGGAGGAGCGCCTCAGAGCGGCCAGTATAATTACTCTGAAGTGGGGACAACAATATTCACAAATCCTGATGGATCCATTTGTGTTAAGCAGTGAAACCATGAGTATTTGAAAATCCTACTGGACCCACTAGTGGAACCAAGCAGTGGGACCAACAGTCGTAGAGGCCTTTAAGTTAGTCGAGTATTACATGTATGACAGTAATAGTTTCGCTCCTGTCGTAATTAATTCTCTACTAATGTCCAATTTTTACTTGATTTCGTCGCGTTTACTTGATTATGCAGTCGCGCCGCGCGCAGGTGCTGCGATAACACGCTACAACTCCTGCGGGACTCTGCCTGAGGACCTCCATGGTTGAGTGGCTCGCACACCGATTTTCATAGTGTATTGTATGAATAACTTGTTTCAACTTGTGTTCTTTTGTAAATATCACACTTATTTACACTTTTAACAAAACTCTTCATAAACAAAATTTTATTTACCTGCAAGTAATTAACAATTATTATAATTAAACTATACTATAGTACAAGTTTCTGGTTTTAGTTTTGTATTTATTATTTATTTATTTATTTAAACTTTATTGTACAATACACTGAAGTACAAATGGAGGACTTAATGCCATAAGGCATTCTCTACCAGTCAACCATTGGGCCAAACAGAAAAATACACAATAGGTTGGTGCTACACTTAAACAAGAAGAACAATATACTAGAAAACTAATCGATAATTTGTATGGTATAAATAAATAACATACTATAAACATACTTATTATACATACTTACATAATAAACTTACATATATATATTATAATAATAAATAATATGATATATGTACCCAAAGCAACATTATACAGTGTCTTAATTTTGACAATTGTCAAACAGATGCTTGCGCAACATGCGCTTGAAAGATAATTTGGTTTTTTTGGATATCTAAACCGTTCATTCAGTCATTTATGCAAAAGAAATCGCAATTAGAATTTCATAAAAACACTAACAACGGTACAGAAAAGTACCAGGCTGGCAGCCACATAAGGTGCAACAGTCATATTGGGCGCGTTTCCATCTCTCACGAAATACGGCAACACGTCCAAAGGAGCGGAGTAAGTGATCCATATGGGGCCTTCGTAGGTCTTATTTGTGTCGCCCTGGTCGAACCATACTCCGGAAGGAAGATAGACGGCACGGGATGTTGTATTTGCTGTTAAAACCGGTGCTACAAGAATTCTCTCGCCTAAAAGGAATTCTGAAAGAAGAGCATTCGATGAGATCTTTTCTAACATTTTTTATGGATATATTCAATTATCTTAACTGATGTACCAATATTATGGGGTGTGTGTCATCGATACGATAAGAAGAAGACCAAAATTATTCAGAAAAATAACAAAACCAATTCTTACCATCCCAAATAACAAATGTCTGATTATCATTTGGGTCAGCCCACCACAACGGGGCCACAACTGGATTTCCATTCTCAACAGATGCTTTCATTGCCTCATAGATGTAATCCGCATATTTTGCGTGCATATCTGCGTACCTCCTGCTTATTTCTGTTGTCTGCAAAAAGACAGCATTTACTAAATACTATTATGTCGATTAATTTCACTGCTAGAGTCGTTGATATCCAAACATCGAAGATTTGCCTTCACCGCTACGAGTGTTAGGCGAAAAGTCTCACTCAACTGCATAGAGACGTTCAGGTTTAATATTTTTATTGCTTTCTTCGATATCTAATCTGCAACATTTCCATTAGCTTCCCCGAAAGTATCTTGAGGGAATTTATTTGTATGACTACTTGTATTAACACCGTAGTTAAAGTCCATTTTAAGAATATCCTCTTTATTTTATATACATAACGAGTGTGCATCTTTTAGCTACCACTATTATAGTGACATTGTTGTGAACACGGTCGAGAACTGACGGAAAGGAAGAGAGAAATAATTTAAAAGCAAAAAAAAAAACAGAAGGGGAAAATGTTACCGTAATGTACGTTCGTTACCGTAAAAGGGTTATGATTGGGGGAAGATAGACGGAAACAGGCGAATAGAATCTCACTCAGTAAACAAATAAAAGAGAAGGTCAAAGTAAGCGGCTACAAAAATTAAGGACTAGCTAATGATCACGAGGAAAGAAGGTGACTACACCGCTAAGAGCACAACTCTTAAATAGGATAATGACGATTATTGGAATAATGCTTCAATGAAATGTATCAATCAGTATGTAGGAAGTCCACATTTCTTCGTATTTCTTTGACGAAGGTATCATTACGGAGGTATTTGCTACGTCGTCATCTAATAATCTATCGTGGTAAGTGAGTTTTTTGCACTTAAGATGTTCATTGACATGTTATGAAATCTCTCGCGAAATCTTATGCAACAGACGGAAGGATTGGGTATTTGAACTACGGATATTCTTTTATCTATAAAGAAGTGTTAACTTCTAGTGTAACGTTTATCGCAATTTTTCCTTTGTTATTAGTCATCTTTATTACCAAGTTAATTTAGGTATATAAATCGGACAATAGGAAGCAACATGTACTTTACTTTTCATAGTCAAGTGTTGATAAACAGATTGTATTTGCCCACTTGATAACAGCTCCCTTTGATATGATGACTTACACTAAACTGTAAAAACACTATGGCCTTCTGTTTTACTGTTGCCAAGAAACTGGTTACGTAATAGGTACGTACCTCACTGTCAAATTGCCATGGTGCGAAGGAAAACTGCATTGCAGGCAAAAACGTATTCGCTTGTACCCATCGTATGAACAACTCTTTAGTCGGGAAATCCGATTCTTCATGAGCCAAATTGTACCCATTTCCTCCGATCATATCGGGTAACACGTAGGTGTATCCATTTAGGTTCATCTGGATGGAAGTTGTAATTAAGGTGGATAAGCCGTTGTTTAGACCCCAGATGGAATCGCGATCCACCATCCGTACGAAGATTGGTAGGTCTTGTGTTCTGAATAATAAGAACAACATTAATGACAACCATTGACTTACAAATAAATGGACGACGGGTCTAATACAAAAACCACGAAAAAAATGTCCCAAGTCAACCTATTTAAACGTAGTGACATGTAAAGGAATATGAAAAAGCTAAAACGTTGAATTTAAATTGTAATGTCATCGCAATACTGTCTAATTTTGCTTGCTTCGCTGTCAGTCGAACAAACGAAGACTAAAGCGTGAATGACGCTCTGTATACGATTTTAACGCCCTATAAGTTCGGACACTTTTTACGCGCACCCGACGTCCATATAATTGTAAGTCAATGACGACAACAACGTGGTTAATATGAAAATTCTAAACAATTGTTACATGTATTTGTTGAGTTTGAAATGAAGTGAACCCTTTCCAGGCCAACAATCTCTATATGAAAAAGGTGAAAATGGTTTCAAGATATTTTGATTTGGTACCTGAATCCACATCGAACTTCTATCATATTTCCGAATCTAGCGCAGGTTCTCACGAAGGCATCCACGATATGGTGGGGATGATAATCGATGTCACCATGTTGTACAGTTACCTAAACAAAACAATACCTAAAACTGATTGAAAACTACAATCTAGTCACAGAAGAGGAAAGCAGTCTTCTTGGGAGTGACCTTAGATAGTAAACTTCAATGGTTTCCACATATATCTTCCCTGGCCAGCAGAGTAAGCTCCGCTGCATACGCAGTCCGCAGAATACGTGAGCTTACCGATGTTAGTACTGCTAGACTAGTTTACTTTAGTTACTTCCATAGTATAATGTCCTACGGGATTCTCATGTGGGGTAAAGCGGCAGATATTCAAACCATATTTGTATTGCAAAAACTAGCGATTCGTTCTGTGTGCCGTCTAGGCTCTCGGGTTTCTCTCAGAGAAAAGTTTAAGGAGACTGGTATCATGACTGTGGCATCACAGTACATTTACTCAAATATTTTATATGCCCGTAAAAATATACATAATTTCAATAAGAAAGAAGATATCCATAATATTAACCTTAGAGCTAAGTCCAAACTCATGGTACCACGATTTCGTTGAACCAAGGTAAACAACTCTTTTATGGGGAACTGTATACGTTTTTACAATAAGATTCCGGAGCATATATTAAGTTTATCATTTCCTAAGTTTAAAAACTACATTAAAAATATTTTGATCGAAAAATCATATTACAAAATTGAAGACTACGTGTTAGATAAAGATGTATGGAAAGACGACACGGCTCCAGAATCCACACAAATTTGATTCAAAGTGTATTCCATAGCATTTAAGTTTATTTGAAAAGAGCAATCCCTAGAGTTTCTTGCTCGTTCTTCTCAGGGAGGTCAGCGTAGTGAACGAGCAGTAGCTTAAATGTGACGATTTCAAGTGTAAATTTATTTTACCTATGGAATAAATAATCTTTGACTTTGACTTTGATTTTGACTTAGAAACAAATTGCATCAAGGAATTGAACGAACTCAAATTAATTCGACATGTTCCAACTTGAACCAAAATTCGTTTACATTTGCAGCGAATGGTCTATGAGTTTATATTTTTATTCATACTTATTCAATGTGGCCAAAATTAGATGTTAAGATTTTTAGGAAAATATGTTACCGAAGGGATATAGTCAGTCTCTCCAGCATCAAACTTGAAACTGTCAATGCCATAAGTGTCGCTGAGGTTCTTGACTCGCTGGTACCACCACTCGGCGGCGTCAGGGTTGGTGAAGTCAATGTAACCAGAGTCAGTACCATTACTGTTCCACCAAAAGCCGTCAACGCTACCTTCTTCGTTTGCCATTAAATAGCTGAAAAGGCAAATTATAACTCAAAAAGGCGATTCGTTTTATGGAGAGTACCTATTTGATTTCGATTGACAAACGTCAGTGGTTGAGTGGCTTGCACACCGGTTTTCATGGTGTCGACATCTCTGAGGTCCCGGGTTTGATCCCCGGCCGGGTCAATGTAGAAAAAACTAACTTTTCTATATTGTCTCGGGTCTGTACTTTCAAAATGTTTTTATGAAACTAGCATTCATTTATAACAATTGCGGTTTCATAATATTTGTATAAATTTGGATATACTTATTGGTAGTCTGGTCTATCATAGCTTGCAGCGTTCAATTAAGAATGAATGAGAACATGGGGAAATATACACGTATATAACATTATTTGTGCCAATAATTTAATGAAAATCAACGTACCCGTACTCTAAGGCTTCAGAGTACCAAGGATCGCAACCTTTGTTAATTAACGGATGAATCCACATAGTTACGCGATATCCCAAACTTTTGAGGTCCGAAACTAATTTACCCAAGTCGGGGAATTTATTCTCATCCACTGTAAGAGATCCATGGCAGGATTCCCAAATACCATCGATTTCTATCTGAGAGTTGTTAAATCCGTGATCTAGAATTTCATTAGCAAATTCCAAAGTTTTGGTCGCGTCGATATCTTCGGAATACTGGGCCCAAGTGGACCAAATGGGGTGTTTAACCATTATGTAATCTACCAAGTCTGATGGTTTCCCTAAATAATTGGCAACTGCATGTTTATGAGCTTCCTTTACATTTGATAGGAACCAAATGTCATATGATAGCTCAGTATGGTTTCTTCTAGATGAATAAGGTAAAGACTTCTGTGCTCCAAAACAAATGTGATTTGCTAACAAATTGCGATAGTCCACAAAGAGTGGTACTTGTGGATGAACATATATATATTCTCCTGCTGAGTTGAGCCAATATCTTTCTGCGATACCACCGTTATTAGCTTCTTTTACTACGTATCCAGTGTAGCGGTATTCGGCGTCTTCAATAGGGTACACTTGATTTAGTTGCATTGGCCCACCATACCAGTGCTTGGAACCTAGAAAAGTTACAAATTAAGTTTGATAAATGATTTTTTAGACGTAATGTTGAAAATAGAAAACCTTCATTTGTAATTATGATGACTGTAGAAGACAGGGATAATATGAATTTCTCATATCGTTATTTTACATTATTTATTGTGATTCTTTGTGAAACAACTTCACTATGATTACGAATACAAAGATCGAACGCACAGAAAAATTTCGTCGACGTGGTGAGAAGCAAGACCTCACATATGAGTACAGAGTTTTAGCTCTCTTCGCCAACGGGTTACTGAGTCCAACATTTAACCCCCCAACATATCCTCTAATCGAAATTGCCTTTGATACACACATAATGGTTACGTACTATCAGATGTAGCATATTTTTGAGTTTTGTTACCAAATTGATATAGCGGCGAATCCACTCTTTTTATTAGATGATAAAACTTATTTAAGGAAATGTGATCAGAACGGAATTTAAAGGCCAGGACTAAAACATTTTTAGAAAATAAGCTGTCCTCAAATCGGAACTATCGCGGTAGATGCTCTTACACAGTTTTATATCAAATTTCTTTCACCACAGAAATGTCACCATAGAGCTTACTCCATATGTCCATATTTAGATTTCTTACAAATGGAATGATTTATGTAGCAAGAGGTTTACATGATGTTACCGCCTAACGATTGCGTCGCTAGCTGATTTGTTTGTTTGTGTAATGGTATCTATTGCACACATTTTTGGGTAGTAAAGTAACTGTTAATTTCTAAGCTTCATATACTAATGGGCGTACCTTAGCTCCCCAAAACACATCAGACTAAGTGCGGTTTTCGAAGAATGACGACTTTGCAAGCAACTACAGAGTCAGAAAAGGATAAAGCTTCTACTACTGCAATTAGCTGTTTTATTTACATTGCTATAAGGTTGGAATTATTATGTATATAAGTTGGTTTCTGGTATACCTAGCTAACATTGAATCATTTAACTGAAAGATTTTTCCTACCAAAACTAATGCAGTCTTCAAGTCGAGGATGCATCTGCGTATCCCATCGTATCCTGATACCCTTGGCGTTCTTAGCCGTATCTGAAAGCATGAGCAGCTGCAGAATAGCATTTTCAATGTGTACTTCGATTCCACCTTCTATATTTTCCGTTGTGAATGGAGAAAGTAGTGTTCGACCAATGTGACCGAGTTCTATTCGTTCTTCATCTGAAATTTAACATAGATTAGATTATTTATATGTAAAGCTCTACTGTATACCATGACAATTCTGTGGTGCACAAAAACTGTTATATTCTTAACTTATTGTTGTTGTCATTATGAGTAAGATTTTCATATTGAACTTACTTTTTTCTAAGATTAGTAGAAAGCCTCCGCTCAGCTGAGGCTCTAAATTGAGCATGACGTCATCAGCGCGCAGGGAGATTTGTGTGTGCGCCCGCGCAGCTAGCGTCAGCAACCCTGTAGGATTACACTATTGCTATTAACTAGCTCCATTAGCTATTGATAATAATCAGAATGCTCAGTTTGGCAGGCTCCCGACAGGTTAATAGAAATATCTATAAATTATAAACGTAAATAAATATGATATTTGTGTGATGATATTTCAGCTAAGCATCGTCAGGGTAAGTTCCGATAAGTTGAACACATTAACTAATTTTAACTGTCTTTAAAAGATAATTTTGTGCTCTACTTTTTGCTATTTAAAACGGATATTTGACCATTTGTCACTTCGCCCCGTTGTAGTTGTGGACGGTAGTCGTGCAAAGTTGCCAACGGACGATGTTACTCATAGCTCAGTTGGTAGGTTGTTTCTTGCTACAACCGGGAATGCCGGGAATCCATAATCGCGTTACCGGGACTGATTACAACTTGCCACCAGGAACCAGAAATCCCCAGAAGCAAGTTCTAAGTAAACAACAGTTATTTTGAAAAAATGTCACGCGCTCTTGCAACTAACTTGCATACATTTCACTTGCGTTTTAAAAAGCGCGCCCGCCGCCGCCGCTTAATGCATGTTTTTTCATTTTTTGTTTAGAACATCGAGTATGTAACCAGAAATAGAGATGAAATAAGGGCCGTAGATTCCTGGTAACACATCAGTGGTACATCACTTATAAATATCAAATCTCGTTTGCACTGAAATATAGTCAGCGCCAACAACTGACCTGTGTGTACGTCTCCGTATATTCCAAAAATATTTTGTATTTTTTGTAATAAAGATAATATCTCTAACAATTGGAGCTGTTCCATTCGGTGGTGTGGAGAAAACAGCAAAACATCTAATTACAAAACAAACGGAATCGCATTTCATCGGTAATTAAATATTAAAATGTCCGTTTGCAATTTTCTTAAATTATCAGGTTAATCTGGTCGACTCCAAGTGAAACAATTGACGACACCTATCAATTGTTTCTAATTCGGGCTGGCCAATGGGAGCGTGGTTGTCACAGTAATGATACGGCAGAATAATTTTCAAACAAATTAAATGACGTCTCTATTTCTGGTTATATACTCGATGGTTCAGAAACAAGAAATAAAACTTTGTCCTGTAGAATATTTAACCGCAAGCACCCTAACGTCTCTGCTTGATCAGTCGTAAGCATGGCACTTGTTAATAAAGCCCAAAACTTTGGTTTTCGTAAAATTCCGCGATTTTAGATCAGGAAAAAATTGTTTCATTGCCAATGTTACGTATGTACGAGTTATTAGTTATCAGTTTATCGAGATTGGTCTATACCAATCTCGATAAACTGATAACTCGATATCACAATAATCTATATAAAACAGTAAGTTCTGACTGAAGTATCAACGCACAGTCAAGACTACATATAAGCTAAATATATGTACATACAAGTATATGATATATACAGGCCATCACACGGCAATGCCACATGGAGGGAAAGTACCTTAAATACCGTAGATATAAAATTTTACTGAAAAGAGACTTCATTTTGATATAAAGACAACTCGAACTGCATTCAAAGATTTTTAAATAATCGCCTGTCTGAACCGGGAATCGAACTCGCCAAATGTGAAAAAACAAACACCTGTAATTTTACTACTTACTTTTTACTCCATGTGGCATAGCCGTGAGACGCCCTGTACATATGACTATAGATTCCTTTTAGTATGTAAGCGCCCCGTGTGTATATGTGTGTGTCAGAAAAGTTCCAGAAAAACCCCTGGTATCATACAAAAAATTTGAAAACCCAAAGTTCACATTAACACTTTTCCCCTCTACGTAGGATTAATTACATTATAGAGGGATCCCTGGAGGGGTAATGGCAATAACGGTTACTTATTAACAGTTATTTATTATAAAATGTTGTCAATTATCCTATTGTTATTTTATTTTGTATGCATTAAGGTACCTGCGAATTTGGCCAGCCGATTAATATGACCACATACCAATATCTCTAAAAATTTGTAGCGTACAAAACCCAACAAATTGGTATATGTACGGTTACGGGGTTCGCATAATAGAGACACACACGCCTCCCCTGCCGCGTATTCGCCATTCGCCCAGACGTGTCAAAGCCGGAGGACACATCTGATAATATGGCCAGCGACTGGCCATATTTGTCTGCACCTAATATTGGCCAAATTTACCTTATGGTTTTTGAACCTAGCAACCCCTGGAGTTTCTTGCTCATTCTTCTCAGGGGAATCTGCCTTACGAATGAGCGGTAGAGTTGAACCATTGTGACGATTTCAAGTGTAATAATGCTTACCTATGAAATAAAGATGGGGGCAATATGAAATTAGCATATATTTTAATTCGTTAGATACTGATTTTACTCATTTTCCATAAAAGTGTATGCTAAAATTTTAAATTATAGAATAGTAAATTGTTCCGTATAGTTAATATGACCATAGGCATATTTACGTACAGTGTGTAAATATGGCCACTTTCTTAAGCACATTGATAAAGGATTTATTTTTATGTCAATGTTGATTGTTTCCATTGTCATTCATAGAACCATAATATCATGTTAAATTGTAATAGAAAAGATTCCGATAATAATCCGTGATAATTTTCCATACAGTAAATATGGCCATTTGTATGACCATATTTACATACAGGTTTGGAAATATGGCCACTTTCGCTTTTTTTAAGGTAAAATTGTTTTTAAGTTCCATGCAGTTGCCATACTAAACTATGAAACTTAGATAAATACTCTATAAAAATAAATAGTAATGATTGATCTCGCATAAAAACTGACCGAAAAATACGACTTCAAACCTTAAGGTGGCCATATTCGACCCAGGTACCTTACATTAATGACAGTGAAAGAATGTTGTATAATCTGTTAGTAACGAAGCAATTAATTCCTTCATAAAGTTTTTTTACACACTATACATGTATAACAACTGAAGTGACGCAGCAATGTCATCAAAGTACTTGAATCCAAGGTTATGAAATAAACTTAAAAATAATGGCGGATAATCGCGCCAACGCAAAGTTGTTATATTTTTTAACTGTTATTGTAGTTGGCATAGCAATAAATAAACCAAAACAA